TTTTAATATAATAATTATTACTGTTGTTTACTTATTTGATTCACCTTCTTAGATATCATAGTATTTTGGGCCAAAGTACAAGTACAAGATTCATATGTCGTCCCATGTTTGTAGTATAAAAAAACTATGTCTCATTTACTAAATATTAAAATTTACCTAAACTGTCCATTTGTTTTAAAAATAAAACTAAGCTACTCCCTTTTTCTTCCTCAGATTTTCATCTAGAATATGTAGTACACGCCTGTGAAATATCACTATTGGATAACTAAAAAAATGTCCCTATTTTTTTTTTCTAGTTTAATGAATTTCAAATATGACTATAAAAGTTTATTCATTTACACTAGCTAGAAATATTTAAATTTTAATTATTTATAAAAAATATTAAAAATATGATCTTATTTTTAAAAATTTACATTTTCAAATTTCTTTTTTTTTTCCCAATTTTTAAACTATGAATAAAATAAATAAATTATTATCAAACAAGTTAATTTCTTAACCACCACATACTTTATTTTTTATTTAGCTTCAAACTTGTAATACAATTAATCTACACAACCTGCTAGAGTAAAAAACATTAACTTTTTATCACATAAATAGAAAAGTTTAAATTTAATATGAGACCTCAACAATCCATCAGGTTTGACAAAATCAAAAATTAAATTATTATTTTTAAATTATAAAAATTAAATATGAAACATTAAAATTTATAGCAAGGACTTTGAAGGGTTAAGTTTTAAAATAATCACATTTTAAAAAGAAATTACAAAAATAACGTTAATTTAAAAATAATAACTAAATAAATAAATACAAACTTCTATATTCCACCCAAGCTGCTCAAACTAATGCTAGCTAGGCTGTGAACTTTTAAGGGGTAGATAGCAATCCAAGCCAACTACCCTCACCTCAACCAATAGAAATGCTGCAAATAACTTGAGAAGTGCCTAGAGAGTTCCTACGAAAAGAGACTACATCATCGATAAGCTGAGCTCCACCCGCATAAGCATTTCCATGTTAGAGCTGCTCACTTTGTCGCGTGCATTGCATGCGACTCCCACATATTTTCCAGGTTTTTTTTAGGAAGTATTGTACAACTGGGTTTTCATATATTTTTTTATTGTTATATGGTTACTTTTATTAATATTGCAAAATACTTTATTAATATTGCGAAATTTTTAATTAAGATCAAATTAATTTTTTTATTTTTAATTAAGACAAAATTACTTTTATTAATATTGCAAAATTACTTTTAATTAAGTCCCGGAACTGGAGCAACGGCTCGGAAGAGGCAGTTGCAATGGAGGAGGCGGCGGGTGAGGAGTTCAACGGCTGAGTTCAGTCGGTGGCGATGGAGGAGGGGGATCATGGGAAGAAAGAAAGAAAAGATGGAAGTGGGGAGTTTGTCCCCACCAAAACCCTAGCACTTCAAAGGGAAGTTGCAGCCATTCTTCTGAGACGTGGCTACACGTGGAGCCACGTCAAAGAGAAGTTGCCGTCTTCAATGAAATCGCAGTTACTAAATCGCAGGCGACGACCGTGGTTTCATTTAAAAAGTAATTATTAAAAAAAAATCCCAAATTTGAAACTAACTACAAACTATATAATTAAAATTGAAATTTAATTATTTATGAATTCTTTTTCTTTAGTACAAAAAGATAAGACTGCTTTTTCCCCTGGATCATAAAGTGAAACAAAGGAGTATATTTTAAAAAAATAAAACATTTTACGTCATCCTTTTTGGTGAATTTTACAAAAATGTCAAATAAGTCTGATTCTCATTAAATAAAGATCATAAAGTGAAACAAAGGAGTATATTTTAAAAAAATAAAACATTTTACGTCATCCTTTTGGTGAATTTTACAAAAATGTCAAATAAGTCTGATTCTCATTAAATAAAGAATTTTATTTTTAATTACCTATAAAATATAAAATTGAAAGTTATAGTTAAACTAAAATTTAAAAATATATTAGACATCAAATTAAGAGTTTAAAGAATTTATATTTATATGAATGACATAATAAAATAAATATGTATTTTAATAAAGGAAAAAGTTTTAATTTTTACAAAATAGTGTAATTCAAATCAAAGTTAATATAAAACACTAGGTTATATTTGAAAAAAAAAACTGGTATTTTGTCAAAATTTTAAAAATACAAATTAAATTTATGTTGGATGGAGATTTCTCAATAATTTACTACGCCCATTGACGTGCATCCAGTAGGAATTGAACCTAAATTTGTAATTTAAAAAAAAAATTACAGTCCATTAATCAAGTGGGGGTAATTATATACAGTCCCACGATAGAAAAAATTTTGCATTAGAATTTAATCGTGGTTTCCATGAGAGTAAACCAAATGAATAGTAATACCCTTATTCTGAAGATTTTGTTTTGTTATCAGAATCTTCCAGCAACAATTTTTCATTTTGGGGTCCAAAATAACTTCCACCAATGCCCTTGTGAATCTTCCGAAGAGGAGTAACAACCTTTAGCATTGTTTGAAAATAAGTCTCTTTTGTCCCAACTCCAAATGATTTCATCCTCTCCTCGGGTTCGAGGAAAGAATAATCCTATTAGCTTCCTCCTCTCCAAAGTGACTACGCACACGTTCTTCATTCCAACGACCTTATTATTCCATAAGAAAAGCTACAGTTATATATTCTATAAGTTCATTTAATAACTGATAATAAATAATTTCGTTTTAGTTTAGCCTCTTGCATGCCCAAACGAAAAAGTGTTTGCATAACTCACTCAATTTTTTTATTACAAAGTACACATATAACTAAAAACAAAATTACATTATTAAAAAAAAACTGTGAAGCTCCGTTATCTGGCATGGTTGAACTTAAAATGCTTCTCACTGAATGATAAAATCTTATAAATGATGGAGTAACAAAATTCAAACAACATTTTGATCCGGATCTTGATCATTTATCTCAATTATGCGATCCCAATAAAGATGAGCAACTACATCTGTAACATAAAATAAGATAAATATATATCGAATATCTTCCTTTATATTGAAATTAATATAAAGTGTCATACTGACAAATACCGACATATATACTACATGAATATGAGATTTGTAGGAACCAAAATTCTCAGAATTAAAACAAACATGAATAGACCATAAACAAACTTGTTTATGAGCGTGTTAATTTCCTTAAAAAAAAATTGTTTATGAGTGCGTTAATTTCCTTAAAGAATTTGTGAAAACAAGTATATAACTAATTAGGTTGGAATAATTTTTACTTTTAAAGATGTTGAACAAAATTTTATCTTGAAAAACTCTAATGTAATAATTATCAAAATTGTGGTTGAAAACTTCCAAAGAAGCCCATAATAAGTGCTAAGTCAGCAATTGAGCCCAAAATAAACGGACCAAACACTACCTCAGCCCAAAACTTGGGTTCGAGACATGATTGAAAAGGGCCTAGCTATAGCTATCTCGTCTGTATTACATTATGGGTATATATACATATATGTAATTTTTTAGTACAACTTTTATTAGATTATATTTTAGATTATATTATTAGATGATATTATTGAATTATAACGAGATTTGAATTAGATCTAATTTAGATTATATTATTTGAATTAGATTTTATATTTCTATTGTGATTAGGAATTATAGTATTATAAATCGATATTTTGTATCCAGCCATTAATTCAATAAAATCTATTTGTTAGACTACCTATTTTCTCTCCTTCCCAAAGTTAACAATTATTACATCATGTTATTTGAATTAATACCATTATAAAGAGCAATAGATGACCACCATATATGGTTACCTTAGACTACTATATTAGTACCTAGAAATATTTGAATTTTAACTATTTTAATTCAGTTATAGTTTAATAGGATTTCCAGGCAAAATATCTTAGACTCAAACCATTATAATGTCATTTCTTTTCTAATTAATAATGATAGTTACATTAGAAATTTTGTGCTAGTATCCACAAGTGCGAGGTGTATTGAGAGTGTACATAAAAGATCAAGTAAAACTATAACTTTACTATCTTAATCTTTTGAAGTTAATTTTTGTGTTGAATGGTAGTTTAACACATGATTTGACTGTTTATAGTCTCGTTAGCTAGAAATTGTTTACCAGATTCTGCAACCAATGTTTTTGGTTAAGTTCCTGGAAAAAGAGAAAATTCAGCCTCTTCTTTCACATGAAAACATGTGTTCAATTTGACTGTAATTTATTTGATGAATTTGCATATACATAGAGTGCAAGCGCAAGGAAACCCACAATTCCAGTGATTACGACGAAAGATGTTAAGATCTGGACCGTGGTTTTAAATATCTGTCGACATGTTGATATGTCCATCAATATATTCATATTTCTATGGGTACAAAATAAAAAAATATCAACAAAATTTTAACTGATATAGACATAATATTAATGTTGATCACCTTGTTTAGAAAGGGTTAAACGAATATTTGTTAATTTAAATATTTTTTAGTTTTTTATTTCTATAATTTTTTCCAGAAATATATATCAACATCGACATGTACATTGATTTCAACATTTAAAATCTTAAGCTGGATCGGGTGAAGATGTTGGTTTGTTTTTTATTTTGCTTTGAGTTTAAACCTTGATCTGGACAAAGTGAACATGTCAGATAAGTCTCAAATAAACAATTTTAAATTTTAACTACTTATAAAATGTAAAATTGAAAGTAGTTATTAAACCCGGTATGATTCAAAATTTTATTAAATATACAATTAAGAGTTTAAAAGAATTTAGGAATAAAATAAAATAAATATATTTTTTAACAAAGAAAAAAGTTTAAAACTTTTACAAAATAGTGTAATTGAAATCAAAGTTAATATAAAACACTACGTTATATTCGGAAAAAAAAATGAAAATTTGTGAAATTTTAAAAATACAAATTAAATTTACGTTGGATGGAAATTTCTCAATAATTGATTAGACATAAAAGTTAAGACTAAATTTGTACTTAAAAAAAAATAAAAAGGAAAAAACATTTTGCCGCCAATCCCTCTTTCAACAATCCAGATTCTCTACTCTCTAGTTCTCTGACGCGCGCCTTTTCCACTCAAAATGGCTTTTATCTTGTGCTTTGCGCGATTACTGCCCCACACGAGCTTTATACGCTCCACTATTTCGTCTTTCTCCAACAATGGAATGGAACCTCTGATCAAGTACTCAAACGATTATTCATGCGCGCTTACGATTTTGTATTAACCCATTTTTCTTCTAATGGCCCCAAGGGAAGATGTGCTCCTCAAGATCGACAGTTTCGGAAATGGAGCTGACAAGGAATCAGAGGAGAAGAATTTCCAGTGTTTACCAGAGAGATCCGCACAAACCATGAGACGAAGAGGTAAAGAGTCTTCCGACTCGGAAAATCGCCGCCCCTCGTCGGCCTCCGGCGGCGGAGAGGTGCTTCGTTGCAGTTCCAACGCTTCATTTCGCGGATGTTCGTGGAGCTCTCCAATCAGCAAGAAGTCTCGGCTGATGGACCCGCCTGAGGAGGATTCTTCTCAAAAATTGGAAACCGCCGTGAGCGAAGAAGGTAAAAATCAGGACGAAACCGAGGACATGCCTGAAGAATACAATCAGCTGAAGCTAAGCCCCTTCTCCGTTCTTCAGTGGGTGATTTTTGTTATCGTTATTGTGGGTTTGATTTGTAATCGCTGGGTTCCAATCTTGAAGAGGAAGTCGATTTGGGATCTTCCGTTATGGAAATGGGAGTTGACTGTTCTAGCCCTCATATGCGGACGGTTGATTTCGACTTGGGCCGTCGGATTGATAGTGAAAATCATCGAGAGGAATTTTCTATTGAGGAAACGGGTTCTGTATTTCGTTTATGGGTTAAGGAGGGCTGTACGAAATTGCCTCTGGCTCTCTCTGCTTTTGCTTGTTTGGCATTTCATATTCAACGAAAAGGTCCAGAGAACGACGCGGAGTAAGATTTTACCATATATTACCAAGATTTTGATCTGTTTTCTCGTGGGTGCTTCGATTTGGCTTCTGAAAACGCTAGCCGTTAAGATTCTGGCCTCCTTTTTCCACGTTAATAACTACTTCGAAAGGCTTAAGGAGGCTTTGTTCAGCCAGTATGTGATTGTGACTCTCTCCGGCTCGCCATTGTTCGAGAGGTCCAACACTGAAGATATGGTGAAGGATAATCAGAATGCCGATGGAAGGGAAGAAAGTCCCAAAAGTGGGAGAATTATATGCAGTGGGAGACTTGTAAATTGCGATGGCTCGAGACAATTGAAGCCGGAATCAAGCAGACAAGATGAGGAAATCCCAGTTGATCAGTTGAACAAACTGAACCAGCATAACATATCAGCTTGGAATATGAGGAGAATGATGAATATTGTAAGAAATGGAGCTTTGTTAACTCTTGATGAGAAGATACTATCAGAAACGAAAGAAGAGTATTTGTTGCAGATTAGGAGTGAGCGGCAGGCGAAAGAGGCAGCTGGGAATATTTTCCGGCGAGTATCCAGACGTGGGTCAGAGTGAGTTCCTTATTTTGACTCAATTTTTTGCCTCTTTCTTATGAATGTTCAACTTCATTGCATGATGCAGTAGCTGTTTTTGTTGTAGATTTATTAATCTGGATGATGTGATGCGGTTTATGAATAAAGAGGAAGCTCTAATGACCATGAGTTTATTTGGACCAGATGCTGAAACTCAGTGCATTGACGAATTCTCTTTTAGAGAGTGGATGGTAAGGCCCTGACTTTGACGTTGCTTAATTTGTCCTGTTTTGCTGTGTAATGAAGATGATATCTTTGGAAATTGAATTACCCTTCTGGTTTCCTTGTTTCTAAAAGTTTTATTATCGTTTTATGTTTAAATTAAAGCTTATAAACGTTTCTATCTATGTCAAAGTTATGAAACTCCGACATGGTAAGTTGTTCGTGGATGTGACAAATGTCCCTCCTCAAAATCAATGGTTCCCTACTCCTCCTACCCCTTTCTGTTTTTTCATGGGAAATGAAGTCTTTAAAAGTCAACCTTAAAACCCAACCAAATTCATTAGCTTTCAACCGAATAATGCATAATCCTTCTCTCCCTCTAATGCCATTAAATTCACATGCCAGCTCATAGAAACTTATCTATCATATACACGTGTAATTTGCCACGTCAAGACTATCTAAATGCAAATTATCATGTTAAGATTTCGTACTCACTAATAATAGAGAATAAGTGGGTACACCAGGTAAGCTTTTTCAACAAAACATAGGGTTGATAATAAAACTTTTAGAGGGATTGAAATCGGAACGTCACAAGATTAAACCATGAGGATTACAAATGAGTATATAAATAAATTTATGTCTACCAAATATTTCTTGAACCATAGGATTTTAAGCTAGAATACTAATGCTTTTGCCCTTTCATCGGACATGCTTCAACTTCAACTCTTAAATTCTAGAGAAGCAAAACGTTTATACATAATTAGTATTTTTACCTTAACGGTAATGTAAAGAAACTTATCTTTTTTTTCTTTTATGGGTTGCAGGTAAATGCATTTAACCAGAGAAAAGTTCTTGTACTATCTCTCAATGATGCAAATACGGCCGTTGATGGTCTTCACAACTTGCTAAACATCTTTGTAGCTGTAACAATTTTGGTAATCTGGCTTATCATATTAGGAACTCCCATCCTGCACTTCCTCATCTTCATAAGCTCACAGCTTCTTCTGCTGGTTTTTATTTTTGGCAACACATGTAAGACGGTCTTTGAAGCTATCATTTTCTTGTTTGTGATGCACCCATTCGATGTCGGCGACCGCTGCGAAGTGGACGGTGTCCAGGTAAAGAACTCTCTAGCCAACGATTTTTTTCTGCCAGATAGATTTCATGTTGTTCAAGAACGTATCTTACCGACGTATTCTTAACTTCTTTGGTTTTCCAGATGGTTGTTGAAGAGATGAGGATATTAACTACAGTTTTCCTGAGATATGATAACCAGAAGATTACTTACCCCAACAGTGTGCTGGCTACCAAGGCCATTGGCAATTACTACCGCAGTCCAGACATGGGAGAGGGAGTTGATTTCTATGTCCATATTTCAACTCCATCGAAGAAAGTCTCCCTTATTAAAGAACAGATTACAAGGTATATTTTGAACTTCTGAAGATTTCAAGTCGAGAATATATATAAAAGATCAAATATGCAACAACTATCAGTTTGAACTTTGAAGTTCAGTTATAGTTTAACGTGATTTTCGAGCAAGCGACCTTAGATTCAAACTGTTGTAATTCGTTTCTTCCCTAACTGATAAATTATTAGTAATAATGATAGTTACTTGTGAGGATTTGTGCTAATATCCAGAACCGCAAGTGCGAGGAGCATTGAGAATGTATGTAAAAGATTCAGTAAACTATAATTTACCCTCCTAATCTTTTCAAGTTTTTGGGTTCAATGGTAGTTCGAAGACATGATTCTGTTTCTAGTTAATCACTAACTAGAAATTGATTGTGCTCAAGCATCCAGGATTCGTTCTGATTCTCCCTCGATTGTGGTATTGAAATGATAGTGATTCCGAAGGTTTATTAGATTCTGCAACCAATGTCTTTGGTTGAGTTCGTGGCAAAAGAGAAAATTGAGCCTCTTCTTTCACATTTAAAAATGTGTTCAATCGAACTGTCATTGATTTGATGAATTTGCAGGTACATAGAGAGCAAGAGCGAGGAATGGCACCCAGCTCCGGTGGTTACGATGAAAGATGTTGAAGATCTGGAGAAGGTGAAGATGTCGGTTTGTGTTACACACAAAATGAACCACCAAGACATGGGAGAGAGATGGAACAGAAGAGCTGCGTTGGTCGAAGAGATTGTCAAAATTTTCAGACAACTCGACGATGAACATCAGGAGAATGTTCAAAACTTGGCTTCTGGAGCCACCTGAGGGCCCATCAGCTCTGGATGTGTAAATTGTGTTTATATGCGTCATTTTAGTTGTTTTGTACATAACTTAGAACCTATAACTGTGGTGTTGTTTTGTTTTCTTAGACTAGAATGAAAAAATGTATTATAATAGAATATTTGAGTCATGAATAGAACTCCTAAATTTACTAGATTTGTGAACAAGTTGAAGTTTTGATTGAGCCTTTATGCAGCATCCAACAGTGGAAATTTTATATCTAAGAAAGAGCCCTCTACTATGGATTTATATTTTTGTTTTAAATTTAGCTAAATCAACTCATATTTATCTAAGATAAGGTCTATGGTATTTCTTTTTATTTGAAGTTGATCGAACCTTCAACTTCTATTTGACCAGGAGATGTATATGATTCAACTATTGACCAACAGATGAAATTTGACTTTGTCAGTATATTAATAACGGTGGAAAATATATTTTTTTAATTATCTAATTATGTGATTAAGAAAATTTCAAGTTTGAAAATTAAATAGAGATGAATAATGTTTGAAAAATAGAGTAAATTTATAATGACCAAAAAACAACCCCAAAATTCTGGCTGCTGTGTGACGAGTGACGAGTGACGACTGACGAGAGAGACAACACAGAACAGAACAGAACATGTTTCTTTGGAGCCCGTTAAATTTCAAGTAATGAGAGAGAGCGATTCAAGCAAAGTTGTCTGCAAATTTCCGTCTAGTTGAAGATAGAGTAAGGATGAAGGAGCAGAGCGATGATAAATTGAAATCCAGCAGGAATGACGAAGAGAAAGTCGTAGATTACCACAGCAACAACGTGAAGAAAGTTAGGTTAAATTCAACTCTTGCCGCGCTGCTCGACGATCCTATTCTCGCCGATGTCCCCAAGAATCCGACCTTGTCCGACGTCGATACGCTCATCAGCCTCGAATTGGGCAGCGCCATGCGCATCTCCGTCCTCAAGCTCGACGGCGCCGCCATTGGTACGCGCACATCTCTTCTCCCCTCCCTCTTTCTCTGTCTGGCATTTTTACAAACACTTTGGTGTATGAACTTTTGAAACTCGATCGCGATCTTGTTCGTGCTGAAGATGTGGCGATCATGAACTCCGCGACACTGAAGGACTTGAAGCTTACCATCAAGAAGAAAGTAAACGACATGGAGCAGTCCAAGATGGGGCATCGCCACATTTCATGGTGCTCTTTCTCGATCCTTCGTAAATTCAACCATAAAAAAGAAACGATTCGTTGAAATCTTCCTGAGCTAGTTGTTTGATGTTCACCGTGCACTGATTAGAAGTCTTTCTCTTTTGGATCTGCAGGAAGCATGTGTGGGAAAATTTTTGCCTAGCACACCACAACGAGAAGCTTCTGGATGAGGGTTCCGCGCTTCAGGATTTCGGAATCCGCAATAACTCACAGGTTATTTTCTAAACCTTATGTGATTTGATTGTACTTTCACCAGCAGAAATTCGAGTTTAGAAGTTTTATCGAAGCAGAAAATTCAGTGAAAAACAGACTGAAAACAAACTCCTGTTGCAGGTGCATTTTGTTCCATACGTGGCGTCAAAGAATTGCCGAAGGCATTCTCGAAGGAGAAAACACCGTTTCTTTCACGGTCTCAACAAGCGCGCATGAACATATGCTTCCGAGGGTGCTTCTCGAGCACAAATTTTGTAAGCTTGAGTTCGCACAACAATTTTTGTAACTGGAATTGAACTATATAAGTGAATGAACCGAGTTATGGAAATTTGATTTGAATCGTGCAAGATTTGGCTATGCGATGAGCAGATTCATTTTTGTTTTTCGATTTAGAAACCGACATTCAAATGAAGGAATTTGGTTAATCTCTCATAACTCTCTGTAATCATCATGTTGATCGAAGCTCAAAATAAAATCAATTGGATTAAAATGGATAAATTGTCACTCCTCTAAAGATGGTAGGATTTGGGCAAATGGCTCGTATGTTCTTATTCTGATGAAGTACTTCAACCCCGATCTTACGTTCTTATTCATGTGTGAACTGTGATCAATTGTTTCTAATATTCTCTCCTTTGCCACTGTGCCATTAATTTTTCCTTTCTAACCATGTCTGTAGATATTATAACATTGCTGCGCATGGGATAGAAGAAGCCTCTCTCGCAAGCTCATACTGTTGGCTTCCTCATCCTCCTTGGATGGAAGGTCTTCGTAGAACATCAAACCGATGCTTTTCTTGCATCCACGAGTTCTAATGGGCGTTCTATTGGAAAGAAAAAAACAAAATTATCACATCCTATTAGTAAAAGCGCCCTGAAATAGGTACATTCCTCTGGCATTTTAAGGCTGAAAATCTCAACATTCTTGACGGCTGTCAATATAAAATGCCAGTTCCAAGAGTGAACTTTATAGATTGTAGCAGCAGTGGTTGTAAAACTTGTGACCAAACCACTTTGGATATGAGGAGAACCTATGGTTTACCATGTAAAGTTAGGAGATTATGATACAAAGTCTATATATCATATAACTTTAGTAGAGCCCAAAAAGGAATCAACTGCTGAATTCTCTTCTTCCTCCTCTGCTACTCACTCTCCATGTTTTGAATAGTTAGGTTCATGAATATCAGTTGCCTGCCTCATTTTCTCCTTGTACTCTTTCAACTCTCTCTTGTATCTTTCCTTGTCTTTCAGCCCAATGTTCTGATAAACCTACACAAGCCGAAAGAAAAATACTCATTTGATCAAACACAGAAAAGTTTACTAACTGTTGGGCCTTTGGGAAAAAGCTTGAGAGAAAAAAGACAGACCGTCCTCTCTTCAGGGCTGAGGTTATTCCAAGACTCTCCAATCATCTTGGTGAACTCCCTCTCTCTATTTGGGTACAGAGATTTCAGCTTGTAATGCTTCTCTGCAAAGAAGAAATTGTACCCACTTCGGTTCGGTTTCGGGTGGTTCGGGTCTCCCTTTCTCCGGCTCCTCCGATGCCGTCGACCGGAGTGTCGAAGCCTGCCACCGGTGTATGGTACAATGGCATTGATTGATTGGGGTCGTAGATTGGATGGGGAGGGCTGCTCCGGATGGTAAAGTACTCCTCTCAGAACTTCAGATCCCAATTTCACAGTCACCAGGTAACCACAGTCGAATTTCCCATCAATTGTTCCAGTAACTGAAAAAAACATCAAGTGATTTCCACACCAAAGAAAAAGAACAGCCTTAGCCCAAAACAAAGCATAACGTCAAAAAAGAACACATTCTCAAGACATGAAAATAGAGAATGAGACAAAAGTACATGAAAAGTTGAAACCCAACAATGACCCACAAAAAAACACTGTAGGTAGACCTTATTTGGTGTAGTAGTAGCTAGCCTCTCGTCGGGTTACACTGTGGTGGTCACTTCTAATAATTTCTCAAACCGAATGGGAGCAACTGTTTGACTTTTATTGCTAGACCCCACGAAGAAAAAAGAAGGAATTTAAAAGAAGTGAATGTAAAAAGGTAAGAGTCACCTTCAGCAGGCGGACCAGGGGAAAACGACGTGGTTTTGGGGGTATATTCCACCAGAGCCAATTCGTTTTCACTGGAAGGGCTACCAAAAGAAAATGGCGCTGCAGCAGAAGAAGAAGACAAAACAGACATCAGATTTACAGCAAAATCCGATGTGGGACAAAAAAAAATGGATAAAGAGAGAAAAGAAATGAAGGGAGAGAAATAAAAAAAGATACCTTGAGGAACACAGATGGGGCCTTGCCGGCTAAACAAGTAAACTTGCTCGTAATGGTAAAGAAGACTTAGATAATGCTTTCTCAACACAAATGAGGCACTCGTCGTCGTCGGAGAGAACTTGAAAACACTTCCCACTTCCCTCCATTTCTTCTCTGCGACAACCTAAGCCGCCATGAAAGGAGTTCAAGATCAGTCCACTTCTCAAAATAAAAGCTTTCTGAAAATGGAAGACGAAGGGCCAAGTTTTTACCTTTTCATGGCCGCCTCTTCTGGTAACCTCTGAATATAGAACATGCAAATCTAGCTCCTTCCCTCCAATCACAGGAATCCTTTAGAATATTAGGAAAAGAGAGGAGAAAGAAAAAAGTTGAAAACTCCCATTAGGAAACCGACTTGTATTTCTTATTTTACTGGAAAAAGAATGAGAAATCAGAGAAAGAAAAAGTGTGGGGTCTTTTCGTTGGTGGAGCCGGGCCGCCATTAATATTACAAAGCTTTAAGTTACCAAGTCAAAAAGAGAAGAAGAAGAAGAAGAAGAAAAATCCCTCACATGAACTTTGTGTTCATCATAAAATGGAAGCGTCTCAAAGTGTCCCAAAAAACAATGGGGTCGGAGATAACTTCGTCGTGAGTGGCCAGCGCCCGCGGATAATGCTTGTCTTGGCCGGCGTTCCAGCTCTTGCTCCTCGCCGGCGGTGACATGAGAGCGGCCGGAGAAATCAGAAAAGACGGAAAAGTAAAGAAAAGAAAGCTCAGAGAAGAGAGAGAGAGAGAGAAGGAGAGGGAGAAGTGTAGAGTAATGATGGTATTAAAGAACATATGATTTCCAAGATAAAGTAATTAAATTAAAGGAGAGAGAGAGGGAARGGCTGGAATTAAAGAAGATGGTTGGAAGCGTGAAAGGCAACTGTTATGCAGAATTGGCTTTTTCTGCAAGATTTGAAAAGAAGAAGGGCAAAGACCAGTGAACAAAAAAGAGAAACTCCTAATGACAAATGAGAGAAATTAATATCCT